TACCTTGTTGGAAATCAAGGCTACATAGCAGGCTGATTATCCTCCTCCAGTCTGATTGCACAAGACTCCACACCCTGTGCGTACAGCGCAGAGAAAGCTCCTTGCCTTGTGAGAAATGCGTCTTCGTAACCTACACCCACTCCTTAGGAGTGGGGAATTGGATCCAAAAGATAGCGTGTAGTTATGAAAGAGATTCCAGAATCCAAATCCTGTTGTTTTAACCAGTTCATTACTGAGCTTTATGAGCTTGCCTCATTATTAGCAGAATAAACAAGGTAGAAGACGATGATTAGACTTATTTTCTTCCCAGATTCCATCTATAGTGTTTGATCATTATTGTTTCTGTCATTCATATATACCAAGTGTCTTCACCTAAAGATCACCGGGAACCTTTGGTTGCCTGGGGGCAAGAATTATTATTCACATCTTACAGATGGGTAAGCAACCATAGAAGGAGAACATGCTTTGACTTACCTAAAAGAGTCTCTGAGAGAGTAGGAAATGAATGTTCCCACAGCCTTCTTTATAGAGACCTGACTTCACAGTAAATCAATTACATTTCTCTCCATAGTGCATTCGGATACTTCTCCAGGCTCAACTAGTGACAGTGAAAAATCCCCAATAACGAAAATATTTTTAAAAACCCAGTTCGTTTATTTGATTTTTTAATTTGTGTTGAAATCAACCTAATGCCAGTACAATGAAGTCACGTTGCCTTGGCAGGTCTAAATATCAGTCATCTAAAAGGAGGGAGGGAGAGAGCGCCCCAATTTTCAGAACTTACACTTAACATGAGCAGAGAGAAGACTCACGTATCTATTTCCTGACCAATTAGGTCATTGGGCAGGAAGTCGCCTTTTCTGAAAAGCCAGTAAGCAGATTCCTTCTACCTTAATTTCCCCGTGAACAGCAATAATGAGCCTTAAACCAGCCCTCACATGGGAATGCTTGCAAGTTAACAGACATGAGACCGCTGAGTTTTCCAGTTGAAAAAAAAGTTACAAATTGTTAGTAACTAACAGCTTCCTCGCTTCCCTTTCACCCAGTTCTCTCTCAAGTGATTCCACCACCTAAAACCACCCTTCAGTTGTTTTCCCATACTTGAGACTCCGTTAAGTGAAATAACTTTCTAATCCCAGTCAGATTGTTAAATCTTCAACCAGAGAGGGCCAGCTTTAGGCCAGCTGGTGAGCATGAGTCCAGCTGTGGGCCAGTAGAGCCAGATGAAACACCTTGCCAAGCCAGGCCTGCATAGCTCTCTGGAACCCCTTGCTCTGGATATCACTGTGCAACAGGAAAGGGGAAGCTGAGTGTGGAGCCAAGGAGCACACAGAGTTGAAATGAATGATAAGATGCTCCCAACACCCCCCTTGATTGTCTTCCCCAAGATGGGCCTTCAGGCCCTTCCTGGGGGCCCTCCTGGCTGGCAGAGCGGCAGGCTATTCGACATCAGGATCCCGGGGAAAGCTAATCGGAGAAGAGGTTACAATTCAGCCTGGTTTCCAACACCGGTTCTATCATTAACCAACCATGTGACCTTGGGATAGTTACTTAGTCTCTCGTAGACTTACTCTGTCAATAGGAACCATATTACCTATCTCACAGAGTGGTTGTGAGGATGTAAAAAGATGGAACGAAGATATGAAACTCAAACAAGACAAAGGGCTCCCTATATAAAGGGCTTACCTAGTGCTTAGCAGATGGTACCTTAAAAATATTCTTTTATTATTAACTTTCAAGGCCTTGTTGTTGTTGCACTTGTAGGCGGCTCCGTGTCGGTGGCACTCCTGAGAATTTATCTCCCCCAGCTATCTCACTCAGGGTTTCTTTCGAAAACTTTTCCATGGGCATATGCACTCATGGCCCTTAGGACCTGAATTTGCCTTTCTAAAAACCAGCAAAGCATATGCTACTGTTAAGTGCTGTTTAGGAACATAGAATTCTTTCAGTACTGACTACTGGCCCGATGTGGCTCTGATTTCTGAAAACATCTTCTGGACCTCGGACACTCTTACAGTTTTATTACCGAGAACATTTTTTTTTTTTTTTTAGTGCCTCCCTCATTAGCGTCTTCTAATGATTCACCTGTAGCCTTTCCCTGACAAACTCGAAAACCCAGCCTCTCCTATCACGTAGCAGGCATCTAAGCAACAAGCTTCTAGAGTTTGCTTGAAAAAGGTAAACCATTAATTTAGCTTAAGCAAGATGGAACTAAGAATATAGATCTGCTAAAACAAATACATCACATGGTTCAATGTTTAGTAAGAATAACTTATTAACTACTTATCTAACCAGTATTTATTAAGCATCCTGAGTCTCAGACTTTGTGTTAAGTGATTCAGGCATACTAGCATGAATCAGACATGGATTTGGTCCTCTTGAAACATACACTCGAGGAGAAAAGTAAAGCACTCAAGTAGCATGCCACAGGATAGAAAATGGCAGTAACATGACAGAGTGAAAGTTTTTAGGGGTTTAGATATGAGGATCAGGGAAGTGGTATGGAGGATAATGTGTGGACATAGAGGAATTCTAGGTGTAAGGGGCCATGGAGAAGAAGTTGGGGCAAAATCTACATGAAGTGGAATGGAGTGGAGGGTTGTGGAAAGGCAGTGTGGGCATAGGCTGAAGAGCCTTGAATGCCAATCTTGGGAATTTAGAACTCTTTGAAAGCACTTGGGGGCCATACAAGGTCTGTGAGCATGCTGATCATGAATGCAGGGCGGCGTGCTTAACTGTGTGCTTAGGGAGGCCAATTGGGCCTGAGAATGGAGGATGGGCTTTTATAGGGAAGGACTAACAGTAGCGTGGAGACCAGGTAGAAAGCTATGGTACTCGTCCCAGGTGGAAGCTCATGTGGGTCTGATCTAAGGTTGGGGTAGGAGAGAATGGAGGGTTGGGAAGGAAGCAGGTGAGGGTTTACAGTCAAACTAACAGGGCTTTACAATTTATTGGACGTGAGGAGCATGAGAGAAGAAATTTGAAAATGGAACTCAGGTTTCAAACCAGATTAAATGGAAGGCCAAAGACAGGGACAATGAAAGAGAAGAGCATCTCTGTGGGAAGATATGAGCTTTATTGGAAGATAAGGAAGGAATTTATGGTGCTAAAATTCGTTATGTCAGGCTTACAGTTCTTGTGGTTCAAAACAGAGGACAGGTGCTGAGGCAAGTCAGGGGCTGAAACAAGGGCTGAGGAATCATCGGTGTGGGGCAGACATTGCCAGCTTAGTGGGAGTGAGTCATATCTGATGCACATGCATGCTTACTGTGTGTTTAAAACACATAACTAAACCAACACTTACAAATCAAGAGATAGTACTTAAAATATTGATGTCTGGCTTCTCTTTTAAAAATCAAAAGATGTGGCTAACTATGAATTCAAATTGGCAAAACATATCAGCAGTCAGAGCTGAACAGGGCTTCCCCCTTGAGGTCCTGGATGGATTCCCTAATTCACCACAGTTGCCTGGGGCTGGGGCTGGGGCTGGGGCAGGAAAGAAGGGCTGGAGGCTTATGGTTAAGGGTCTGGGGCTTACATTTGAAGTGAGGAAGTGTCCTAGAGTTTGATTGTGGCGATGATTGAACAATTCTACATATAGTAAAAACCATTGCTATATGTTTAAGTGGATGGTTTGTATGATGTGTGAATTATCTCAATAGAGCTGTTTTATAAAAATGCAAAAAAAAAATAAAAAATAATAATAATCAGTTGCGCAAGCCCTGGCCGTGTTGGTGTACTTAAAGCAGAAAACATTTCTCTGTTAATGTGTCTCTATCAAGAAAGGAAAGACAGACTGAGATTTTTAAAAGAAAAATGGAAGAGTGTACATCTATTTTGTGGGAGTAAAGAATTTCTATGTGTTACAATGCAAACACCTGGCCTCTGTATTAATTTATTTCCTAGCCACTGAAGGCACTTAGGTATTAGGAAGGATTTTGGTCATGGCCAGCTTTCTGCAGTCCACCCACTAAGAAAAAGAGGCCAGACTATTGGATGTCAAAGGAGGAAAAGCTTTATCAGCTGCTGACAAGGAGTCAGGGAGGTTGAGGACAGAGAAGTCAGGAAATTGCAAGGCACCATCCAGGGAGAGAGCTTACAATGGTGAGGCCAGAGAGGGCTACAGGCACAGATGACAAAGTATGCTCAGGAATTAGTACTTTATCCTCAGGCACAAAGGATAAAAGACCAGAATTCCTCCCTGGCCCAGGCCAAACATGGACAGAGGCGACCAGATATGACAGCAAAGGCTGGCTACTAGAGGATGGAACCTATTAGCCTGCCCGTGAGAAAGAAGAAGAGGAGGCAAGCAGAATAGATGTCAAGAGGCACTGGGAAACTCTGGAGGTGGAAGACAGCAGCTGAAGTACAACTTGGGGGAAACTAGAGTTTGCTTCAGATCCTCTTCTTTTAGGGACGTCTTAGGTGGTAAAAGAATGTTTCTCTTGGGATAAGAATGTCTAATACAGAGATATGAAATTGTGAGATCTTCCAGATTCCTCTTCCAGGTGTGTGTGTGGGCGGCTTTGGAAGGGGAAAGAAATTTTATATGCATATGCCACCATTTTTTATATTGATAAGGAACACTGAGTTAAAACTCTTATGCCAAAAACATTTTACAACCCTATTGAACTAAGATCATTTCATAACCAGCTCTTACTCTATATAGTAGCATTTTGCCTTTCTACAATGGATGTTGAGTGGCTTGATTTAGATTTAGCAATGGTTCCAAATTACCTTGCAGTGAGACCTCTTATTGCTGAGTAACTCTGTTACCTTTAGCTTGTAGTGGTCACTTCCCCTGAGGCTAAAGGAAACTCGTGCTGGCTTTTATTTTTGGCCTCAAATTATTTAACCCCTCTCCTTCTCTAATTCACCAGCTTCTGTGGTCATGAACTGAGCCTCCATGTGCTCTAAGCAATGAGCAATAACTGGTCTTCTGTGAAACACCATCACAAGGAAGGGCATCAAGGTCATAGCTGTGTTCTGCTCTGTTTCAGGCCCTTCTGGATCCAGCTGTGTGACAGCTGCGCTCGGCAACACCTGGAGCCACAGTGTGAACACACGGCTGATTTTCCAAAGCCTTGGTTCAGAGAGAAGACAGGTGAGTGCTTTGACATTGTTTGTGATTGTCAAGGTCATGCTGTCTATCCTGGCCCAACACAGGGTGTAGGGAAAAACAAAAAAAAAGTACCCCTAACTGTCCCAATAGCAGTAAAATGAAGTGGGGATACAGTCACTTACAGGAAAAAAACTTGTACCGGTAAGTATAGACCCAAGAGAGTTTGCATGGTGGCCTATAGCTTGTAAGTGACCTGATGGTGGCCAATAACTTGTAAGTGACCAAGGTACACAACTCTAGGGATCTCAGGTTCTCTCTCAGTAAAGGGTGAATGATCACCCTGTTGGTCAAGCACTGGGTCATTCATATACAAATTAAAAGGTGATGGTGCTTTTTCTTGAGATGAATGTGCTTTGAAAACCTTAGGCCAGGCAGACCTTGCCAAGTGAATAACTGTTCCCCGGGTCCTGGGTACTTTTGCATCAACTCATAGCCAGTAGTTTAAAGGACTGGGTGATGCTAGAGAGATCTCTGAAAGGATGCTGCCTCTAAGAGCTCCCTGTTGGTGGCTTCTGTCCTGGCCTCAATTGAGAATTTCCCCCTCACCCAGAAGGGCTCATTTCTACCCTTTCTTCATCTTCCCTCCGCCCCCTAAGAAAGGACCACCACTGTGTGACCTTTGGAAAGATGCTTTCTAATTAAAACATTTCTTCTTCTGACGGCTAACTTGAGCTTCATCCTGTGTGGACCAGGTTCCACCACGACCTCCTCTGCACACAGGAGGAGAGGGAAGCCAGGGTGATTATTCTGATGTAATGGATGGGGCAGAATGCAGAACCCAGATTTGTCCATTTTGCTAAATATATAACAAATCCAAGTCATTAATTAAAGAGGCATGAAATGTTATACTTGCTGGTGGCCCTTCCCGGAGGGGGTGGTGGGAAGGCTGTGTGGCCCTTTACCTGCATTTGGTGAACTGGCTCTTTTTCAGGGAGCCAGGAATCATCCAAAACGGGAGCCCTTGCCTGTTCCAGACATAGCTTTCTGAGTGCTCTTGGTTACAGACCAGAGGACTCCTCTTGGTTCGCTCGGACTGTGTAAATAGCGTTCCAGCTGAGGACTGAGTCAGCTATGTTCTGAGGCGATGGAGCTGCTTGTTTTCATTCCGGGGAGCATTCTTGAGTTTTCAGGCCCTGGTGTGCTCCTTGCCTCCATGGGGCCTTTTCTCTGATAACTCAGGTTTCCTGGGTTCTGCATCCATTTCTTTTATTTTCAGTAGAATACATCCACAATGTTCCTGTAGAACCTAATGACCTTAAGTTTGTACCCAGGTTATAAGTATTGTTACGTAAACCCTGCTTGCAGCTCTTAGGCATGTCTCTAAGGAATGTCAAGCTCTGTTCCTTGGACTCCTTGAGGAAGCAGGGTCCTGTGGGTCGGTGTTGATTCAGTCATTTTTACGGATCCTTAACCCCACTCCTTGAAAACTTTTGTACTTTATCTCTATTTTAGATATTAGATGACACACACTGATTTTGTGATTTAGTCTATTATACATGATATTGTGGGTTCCAGGCTCCCATATTCTAGTTTTACTAATTCTAGTTAGTGTTTACCCTATATAATAAAATCCTAATATGCTAAGTGTCTGGTCATTTGGTTGGCCATACAACCAATGAAAGCTTAATAAGCTAATGATATGCTAAGGCCGCTCAACTGCTTGCTATGATGTGCACTGACCACCAGGGGACAGGGGCTCCAACTGGTAGGCTAGCTTGCTGCTGGGGTCCAACCAATCGGGACTGAGCAAGATGAGCCAGACATGCCCTGAAGCCCTCCTGCGATCCCTCCCCAGCCCTCCCTTGGCCTAGCCTGCACCCTTTCACAATCTGGGATCTCTTAGGGGATGTCAGAGAGCCAGTTTTGGCCCAGCAGTGAAATGACCAGTTGCTATGACATGCACTGACCAACAGGGGGCAGACACTCAACTCAAGAGCTGCCCCCTGGTCAGTGCACTCCTACAAAGGGGCGCCACTCAGCCAGAATCCGGGCTTATGGCTGGTGAGTGTAGCAATGGTGGCGGGAGCCTCTCCTGCGTCTGGCAGTGCTAAGGATGGCCGACTAACAACTTAGGCCCACTCTCCACAGGCCTAAGCTATCAGTCAGACATCCCCTAAGGGCTCCCAGACTGCGAGAGGGCACGGGTCAGGTTGAGGGACCTCCTGCCCCTGAGTGCACAAATTTCATGCACTGGGCCTCTAGTTAGTAAATAAAGAAGTTAGAGTCATATTTTTTTCATTTGTTTTAATAAATTAACCAGTCATCTCTATTTTGTTAGTGTCAACAGGAAGTAGATAGTAGAACAAATGCTATTATTTTGTGTCTCTTTGGTGATTGGAACATTTTGGTGGCTGTTGGTTCTTGGTTCATAAGGTCAATTGTAGGCCACTGGTTAGGAAAAGAACCCAGATCAAAGCGTGGATAGATCAGTGACAGCCTACCAGCTCATATCCTATTTAGAGGGGTCTGTGTGTTATCTTAATATATAAAGGACATCACTAATCAATCATTGCTAATCAATCAAGAGCAGAGTTAAATGCTTTTGAATCATGTTTCAAACAGTAATGAAAATTTAAAATAAAATACGACCAGCGTTAAAATGGCCAGCTCAGGCCAAAGAACGTATGCTTAATTAATCTACAGAAATGTGTGTGCCTTTGGGGACCAGTCTTTCGTTCGTGGCCTGATAAGTAGGATAAAGTTTAATATAGAAAACATGCCTTGACCTGATGCCCTGATTTCAACTCACCAGAGGGTGTGCTGAGTGATTCACTGAGCCTTTCCTGTGGTCCTACTTCATGACAAAGTAGAGGAGCCCCATGAAGACATACCTTTTCTGGGATACGCGCTTTTAAGATGATTGCTCCAAATAATATTTCTTATAACACCACTTAGTAGGAGGACATGCCTAGATCAGCTCCTATGGAAAGTTACAGGTAGAGCTTTTGTTTTTTATTCTTTTTTATTCTTTTTCTTCCTCTCAATGCTCAAGCAGAAGCCACATGCCAAGGGATCAAGGTTACGGAATGAAGGTTACATTTTATCCCATTTCTCTGACATTGAGCTCTGTACCAGGCTCAAATGTGAGGCTTAGTCTGAGCTCAGAAGCTGGAAGGGGTCAGGGTCAGCTGAGCAGACCAGCGAGCTGATGAACCCAAGTTGGATTGTTTAGTCCGAGGGCCGGAGTCCTCCCCAGCTGATTATTTTCTTTACACCCTGGAAACGCTGTAGAATTATACAACCAAGGAAGAAATCTCCTTATCAGGGCACAAGCCAAGTTAATTCTCTTGTTTATTCTGCTTCAGTGTTTGTGAAAACGCTCTTGTGAAGCTGGGAAGCATTTTCTTTTGGACTAATTTAGCCTTTTTTCCATTTGACTTTTATTTATTCTTTTCCTCCTTGGCTTCAATCCTGCCCCACCCTTTTTGCAACATTTTTATTCTTACTAAAGACATGTCCTTAGAGTTGAATTAAAATGGCCACTGCCGGGCATTTTGTGCTTGCATTTTAGAGGATTTGGTTTTGTTACATAAATAAAAGCATTACTTGGTTCACCACGTGCATGGCAAGGGGATGCAAAGAAGTAGCAGACAGTTCCTGCCTTCAAGTTGCTTCTGGTCTAGTCCGAGAGATGACTGAGATATATAATACACACGCATGCCCACCTGGACGCTCATGAATTATCAAAATGAAGTGCAGGCATTAAAGCACAAACTAGTACTGAGATGCTATCACATGGGTTATTACCTAATACATGGTTAACACTGCTCTGAGTCCCGAGGAAGGTAAACTCAAAAGAGGTACGTTAGTCTTATCAGAAGAAGGTGGGACTTGAGTATCACTTTAAACCTGTGTTTCTGAAGCCTGGGTGTCTGTAGACCCCTCCCAGGAGTAATTACAAAATACCAGCACCAGGGCCCCACCCTGACCAATGCAGTCAGCATCCCTGCCGGTGGGTCCAGGCCTTGGTGTGCATTTTATTTGTAGCGCTCCCCCAGGTTGGAAACCTGATTTAGATCAAATCGGGTTACTAGGGAAGGAAAGGGAAGATGTTGGGGTGAGGGTGGAGCAAAAGGAGAAAGACAGGAGGTCAAGTCATAGGTTCCCAAGACTTGGGTTGGTTTTTGCCTGAAAATATGAGCATAGGATGTGTGTACCCATTCATTTGAAAAACCTTTATTTAATCATCTCTTCTCTGCTACTTACTGCGCAAGATGCTTGTAAGAGATTCAACGTATAAGTAAGTTGATGCCCTGCAGGTATTCACAGTCAACCTGGGGAAATGATAAACATGTAAACAGTAGGTGCTGCATGCGCGCACGCATCTTGAGCCAAGTGTGCCTCAGAGGAGAGGGAGGGCCCTAGCACAGCTGGAGGTCCTGTGCTGACAATGGGGCAGCAGCATCCACACTGGATTGGCTGAGGCCCACCTTGGGAAGTTCTCACGGTAACCAGGCACCTTGTACTGAGGGACTAAAAAAGCTAGAGCGAGGGTGGTTATACTTGAAAGAAGGATGAAAAAACTTGATGAAATATTCATACTATTCCTCATCAAATCTTCATGCAGTCTGTTCCTACAAACCACATATGGGATTATATAAAATTTAAGTGGCCTAGAAGGCGTACTGAAGTAAATTAATCCCAACTAAGCTTCACACTCCCTTGATGAAATAAATATTATGACTCTCTTATTTCAACAAATTGGAAAGAGGTGACTTTTTCATCCAGAAGGTTTATTTAAATGGGCTTTAGAACAATATTTTCATCTTCCCTGGAGAAGGCACCCTGACATGCCAGATCACTGAGGGAAGAGACTACTGGTAAGAGACGCACATTGTTGACAAGACCAATAACATCACTTCACTCTCGCTCAATCCTTGGGCTTTTCTCACAGTCCCAGGTTGTTTTGCGTCTTGGAAGTTACTCAGTGTTTCCTTTCTGGTGACAGAACTCTTTGTTCAGTGCCATTTTATATTTTGAAA